AACAACACAGTGCTATAGGTACCACAAAGTTGAATATTTAAAAGGAACACGAAAAGAAGGTAAACTTAAACGCCTATTTTAGGGGAAATGCAAACAAAGTTCACCGGTAATATAAGTATTATTATTTCACTGCACTTATACCTTCTTTATTTTTATTTATTTATTTTGCTTTTTTTTTTTTGCCTTTTTTTCTTCTAGACAATTAACATTTTGAATGTACAGAGCAAAAAGGTTGGTAATGTTTTAAATGCTGACAAAAAGGTTTAATGCTTAAGTTTGAATAAACACTTTTCAGTTGGCTAGACCGTCGTTAGACAACAGTACAACTTTAACATGCCTCACGAAAACATACAAACACTAATGCACATCAAAAACCTTATTTTTCTATTCTTAAGACGAATAACCAACAAAAGAATCAGTCTCAATTTTCTACGGTCAATCAAATTTAGAAGTGGAACTACAAAAGGTAAAATTTACCGCTATTTTAGACGCATTTACACCATTTTAAAACTAAACATTAAGTCTCTGTCATAGCAGACATAGTTCTGCGGTGGGTACAGTCAACAAACCGCTTTCTGCTTGATCCCATTAGCATTCTCCTCGTCTTTTTTTGCAAGTATAACCCGACTTTTAAAGTGACAATGACCAGACTAAGCACAAAACAAAGTATATATTTATATATATAATTTATGCAAACTAATCATTAAACGGTAAATTACTGAACAAATTAACCAAATCTTCTTTATAGCATTTCTGCGTGTTTACCTTATGTTTATAATTTGTTTATCTTGATACTATTATTATTGTAAAAAAAAAAAAGTTTTCTCCTAAAAAACTGAACAAGAAGAACTAATAACTGGTAAAAAAATATCTCAATAAACAATTCAACAATTTATAATGCAAACAGATTTTGTCACTTTTACAGCAAACCTGCGTTACAGAAATTATTTCATAGTCTCTGTTTTTACTTTTTCTGTAGAAATTGAGCAGAAGAAGTGAAAAAAGCAGATAATAGACAGGTGTTTTCAAAATGTCAACGTATACTAAAAAGATGTCTTGAAATGCTCCAAAATTGCAGTTTATTTGTTGGCTAAAAAAAATGAACGATCGTCATTTATCTGAAATGCGAATTATCCAAATTCAACATACAGAGCTGAACATTGATGATACCAACAAAAAAAAAAAAAAGGTTATTTGATTAAGGTAGAAAATATAAGAAGAGAAACGGAAAAAAAATTGGAGAAGAACTTCGGATGATTCTTCGTGATGGTAAATAGCATTCCAAAAACTGTCATTTTTAAACGATAAAAATATTTTAGCCGTTGACTTGGAAAACAAGTTTATGGGTACGTTGTACACGAAACTTTTTAAACAACCGATAAATTGAAGCAACATTTAGACTACTCGACTCTTTTTTTTTTTTTTTTACAAAAACTAAAACCAAACCATTCCAAACCAAAAATGTCGTTGTTGAACATACAACGATGATGTTAATCGGCGACGTCGACAGCGACGACGTCAAGGAGAGCAGAAAACATGAAAAGAAGAAAAAGGAAATAAATGCTCATATAAACTTTAAAAATATTGTTTAATTACTCTAAAACTTATTTTTTATAATTATTTTTGTTTTCTTTTGTTTTTCTTTTTTTTTTAAACTGTAAAAACACTTTCTTTTTTTGGTGCTGTTTAACAATTCATTATTGAACTGTAGTTTATGCCGGAATTGCGGAACGTCGATACCAATGCAGATAACATACAGATATATAGAAACATACAGTATTTTGTGATTATATATCTCAGAATGCTGTTATAGTTTTTCAAAAAGTTTTCTGAAAAGTTTTTAACTAGATGTCAAAAAAGCTAAAGAAAAAAAAAATCGTAAGTGTTTTCAAACTTTAAACAAATAAAATGCATGTCGCCTTCAGCAGTAAACACAGTGAAGAAAAAGCTTTTTAATAAGGCATTAACCTGATCATAATAAAACCATAAAAAATCATTTGTATATGTCTAAAAAATTAAAATATATATATATATATTTTTTTTGTTTTTAATAGAGTTGAGCTGTATAATAAAATGACTGTAAAATGACCTGAAAAATAAATCGTTACAACACGCAAAAATACCCGTCAATGTAACGGGACAATAATCTTACTGCAAAATCAATTTTTTCACTTCTGTCAACCACAATACCAAAATTTCATCTATTTTTCGCCTATACTGCTGACACTCTTTCCTCAGCTGTTCTGTCTTTATTACCACCGTCATCATTATCGTCGTCGTCGTTGTTGGTGTTAAAGTTGGGCTGTTAAATGAACAATACAGAAACATTGTTTAATCGTTTAATAACTGCATGTGAAATATGGGATTTGGATGAGGTAAAAGCGGTAGTTGAAACCGGATTCAACGTTGATACTGCTGACGATGATCGTGTTACTGCACTACAAATTGCTGCAGCTAACGGTAATATTGGTATTGTAAGTATTTTAGTGCTTTCTTTCTTTTTTTTTTTTTGTTTTTTATTTGTTAAATCAATTAATTGTAAAAGAAAATAAAATTTTTTTTTGTTTAGGTAGAACATTTATTAGACATGGGTGCCAATATTGAAGCCGACAATCAGATTGGTATGACACCGTTACATCATGCAGCTAAAAATGGTCATTGTAATGTCGTGAGGATTTTATTACAACGAGGAGCTGTGATTGATAAATTAACGTTGGTGGTTACAAGTAAAACATTTCTATTGCTTTGAAACTATAAATACAATGAAAAAAAAATAAAAGAGCAGTAACAACAGAATATATTTGTTTTTGCTGCTGTTATCGTCTTCAAATACTTTTTTGGTTAAAATTAGAAATTGTCATTGTTGATTTTACTTTCTTCTGTAGCACTTCCATCAAATAAAAATTGCAGTAAGTTTTTAAGAGACGAATAAAAACTATTAAAAGTATACAGTATAATAAATGCTGTAAAAAATGCAAGAATAGTTTGCTTCTTATTTTACCCCGCACTTTTATTGTAGTTTAGTTCATTTTTTTTTTTGTACGAATTAACTTTTAAAGTGTTGTGAAAAGTTTAGACGAAAACGATTATTAATTTATTGCTTTTTAAGTAAAATTACTACATAAAAAGAAACTTTCGTTTAAAAAGAACAACTAAAAAAGTAATTCAAATCACAGATCAAGTAGGTGCTGATTCAGTGCAGACTAAAACATTGGAAAAAAAACTGGTGCAAAAACGAGAAACATTGCTGTAACAGCATGTTTAACATAGATCATAACCTCTTCCCCTTTTCAGACAAAAAAAAAAAAGAAAGTGTTAGAAGCTTACATTTGGTATCAAAAAAAGTTAAAAGTTAATTGTTTGAAAAAGATACGAATAACGGTTCTAATCATATATTTGAAAAAATTTTTTTGCTAGGTAGCCAAAAAATACTGGTTGATGTTCAGCTTAAAAACAGCAGCAAAAAAATTTAAAAATTTTTCAACTTATTCTTCGAAAAAGCTTATCCTAATTTAGCATTAAAATATTGCATTCAATATTTATGTATTTAAAGTTTATCTACAATTGAATAGGTACAATTTATTACCGTTTAAGTTATTATGGTGCATCAGCGTTAACGCTTGCTGCTTCTGAGGGTCATACCGATGTTGTACAATTTTTGATCAATCTGAAATTGAGCGTGAATCCACAGGAAAAACGTGATACAGCGCTATGTCCAACACCAATTATGGCAGCTGTTTTCAGGAGACATGCACATATCTGTGTTTTACTTGCACAAAGGTAAAACTGTTTTTTTTTTGTTGTTGTTTTTGTTTTAGAAAATTTTTCAAAACCAGATTGCAGTACTTGATTCTAACAGTCTAAATTTTTAATAACTCATTTTAAGAAAATTTTTCAACCAAATTTAACTGTGCTGTTTGCCAATTTTTTTTTAAATGTCAACTAAGGTTTGTGAATTGAAAGTGTTGAGAAAATGACCGTAAATTACTCTCTTCAAACAGTAATCCTAATGTTGATAAAAAACTAAGACAAATTTAGAGGTGCCAATTTGGATGATATTATTCCACGACTAGACAATTTATCAGCAATGTCGATAGCAATAACCTGTGATGCTCGAGTTATGGTCGGAACATTGCTGGAACTAAAATCTAATCCAGCATTCCGAACACTGGGAAACAGAAAACCGTATGAATTGGCAAAAGATTTGAAACGCGATGAAATTTTTTTGCTACTAGAAAATGCTCAGTATCTTACAACCGGTAACTGTTAGTTTTGGTTATTTTTTGCTTGCCGTTCTTATCTCTTTTCATTACATTATCAGATAGAAAACAAAAACAAAAAGTTATTGAAAATTATAACTGGTATATAGTGTAGTAAAAGAAAAAAAAATCTAGATGTAGTAAAAATTTAATGCTTTTTTCTTTTTACTATAAATTCTAAATTCTTTTCTTGATACATTTTTTGAGAACGACGATTACGACAACGGGATATCAGAGAGATGATTTTCAACCGAGATGAAACTGGTCTTCGGAATGCATTACGGTCTGAACTCTTACAAAGTTTTCCAGAAAAATGCACACCACTAATGTATGCAGTTTTGCTTGGCGATCTTAATATGGTTGGTTTTTTATCCACTATTCATGAAAAAGTGTTTTTTGCTTTTTCTGTGTTTTTTTTTTTTTTCGAAGGGGGGTATAATAAATCTTTAATTCAAGGTTCAATTTTTTGGTAAAATATAATAAAGAAATGTCAAAAAAGTAAAAACTACAATTGTTTTTTTTTTCCTTTTTTTGTCATGACTGTTCACAATAAAATTTCTTGAAACACAAATAGCATCTGAGAAACAAACAGTGAAAAGAAAAGATGAAAGAATAACTGTCAAAAATCAGCAGTAATTTTATGCTTTGGTTGCTTTTATGCTTCTTTCCCTTTCACCTCTTCTTTTAAAGCTGCAAAATAACAATATACATAAAGGTTGTTTTTCTTTTTTTTTTTTTTATTTAAAAATTACTTAGAAACGTTTTTGTGACAATAAAATGATAATTTTGCAGGAATTAACACTATTAAAAAAAGCATTAAAAGCCTTTTTTTTTTATAGAAATTGAAAAAGAAATGTAAGAGAAAGGAAAGAAAAAGAAGAGCATAATAACATCTGAAAATTGTCATTTCTTTACTCGTTATATCAAGAACTCTTCTTTCATACTTTTGTTTTTTTTTTTCTAGGTAAAAGTAGTTCGTGAAGAAACAAACGATATTAATGCAGTTGAAGAAGTGCTCGGTTTAACAGCATTAATGTTTGCAGCAATTATTGGGTTTCGTCTACTTTTTATTTTTTTCAGTTTTTTTTGTCAACCTATTTTTTTTTTTTGATTTCTCTGGGTATTTGATACATCAGCCGATACTGTCACCACTAAGTTTGATTGACCGAACAGAATAACAGCCTTTATCATTTACATTTTTCGGAATTTATTTTGCACTGTGTAATGTATGCAAAACAAACAGCGATGCAAATATATTCTTTTCTTTAGCAACAATGAAATGGTGGAATATTTGCTGAATAATGGGGCCGATATAACACAGGTATCAAAAGATCACTTTAACGCTCTCGATTATGCCTTTTCATTAGGTTAATTTTTTTTCAACACATTTGTTATAATAATAAAAAAGAAATAGCAATTTAATTTACACACATCTATCTTTCACTAACAACTAAATAGTCGAGTAAACAAAAATAAATTAATATATCAATAAACTTATATTAATTTATTTATAGAACGCCATACTGTTGCAATTTGAAATCAATTAAAGCAGCTGAATAACATAGAAACAACAATGCCTATTGTTGACTTTTTAACAGTTTTCCAATACTTTACTACATCTAATTCAAGACCACTCTTCAAAAAAATTTGAAATTTTACTGAAAATGATTATTTTGCTTAACCAGTTAGCAGATATTACAGCTAAAAGCGCTATCCTATTTCTATTTTTGCATCAATTTGTAAAAATTGTATTATTGCTGAAATTAATAATCACCATTACTAAAATGCTTGTTATAGGAAGCTTAGATGCACGAACACTGTGTGTGATGCAACTGTATGTAACTTCTGGATCTCCGGTACCTGTAAAATTAGATTTTCATGGAAGCGCTAGTCGAAGTGGAATGGCTAAGCTTGTAATTCGTTTTTGGCACTTTTTTTTGCAGTTGATATGAAAAATTTGGTGATAATACTGAACAAAAAGAAATAATCATTAACTTAACAGATAAAAGAGTAAAAAAAAGCTTATTTCTATTCAAGTTTTACTTTTTTTCGATTTATTAACTGTTAATACTATGTTTAGTTTCAAAAAATTGGCTTCGGTTCCAGTGTTAATGGAGAAAATCGTGAAAAAAATCAATCAGAAACGCAGCATATTGAAAATTTATTAAATATTTGCGCTAAACGAGACTCTGCTAAGCTTAAAACAGCTAATCAAATTTTACGGTCAACAACCTGTGGAAAAGATCGTGAAAATATTGATGAATTTCATAAACGACTTCAAAAAATTCGTTCACTTGCTGAAGTTTGTTTGTTCGTTTGTTGTTCAAACAGACATCGACTATTAAAACTATCATTGTAACACCATATCTGATAAATGCGTACAAGAAGAAACTGTTTATAGCATTGTATGATATTTGGAATGGCACCGTTACCGATATGGTTTACAACAGAAGACCTGAACAGCTGTAGTTTGGAAACTCAAAACAATAGAACAGAATCAGTTTCGCAGATGAAGTTATACTCAACAGAATTCAAAAAGGAAACTGCTTGTTTTTGTCTTGCACAAAAAAATGCACAAACTTTTAGTGTAAGTTTATTTCATATCGATTATTGTCAATCATAATCATTAGCTATCAACTAGTTTTTCTTTACAATACCACCTTATTGCAACACAGATATTATGCTAACCTAGAGCCACTTAAGGAAAGCTGTTTTGGACAGTTTAGTACACAAAATACCAGAGATAGAGGATCAAAAAGTCGTCGTGTATTTGAACCAAATGAACGCAGAAAAAGTAGTACAACAGCATCAGCACTCGGACTTGATGGTAACATTTAGTCGACTATATTTTAATATTTTTCAGTAAGCTCTATTGTCATAAACGCTAAATAACAGCAAAAAAATAGCAATATCAAGACTCATATATAGTTTTATTTTCCAGATTAAAATGTTACTTATAAATAACTGTAGCCAAAAAAAATATCTGAAAAATTATAGAACAAAAAAGTGTTTAACAAACGTATAATGTAATTTTTGTTTTACAGCGAAATTATTTCGTCGTTCTGTTCAACTGTATTCATCACTTCAGCACTCATCGTCAACATCTTTACGGACGGTTACGAGTCCAATGATACGGTATTCCAAAGAAAAAATTAATACTGATGATTTTGATGATGGACGATCGTCACCATCCAGGCGATCGCTTAATCAGTATACGTTTACCTTTAAAGATAGAAGAAATTCACTCAAAAAGTAATTCTTCTTTTTGTTTTAAATAATTAATAAAAAAATATTAAAGAATTAATTTTTTTTGTTTTTAAAACAAAATATACGTATTTTATATATTAAAGAATTTGCTGTAATTTTTAAATTGGTGAAATAAGAAGAAATGCATGAAACAGTTGGTGTTTTATGCACTGAAAATATACAACAAAATATTATCGGTGCAGTTACAACGAAGTACAGTCTAAAACTATTCTTTTAATTATATATATATGTTAAATTATGTACCAAATTTTGTTAGATAATTATATTTTTTTATAAACTAACAGTTAGTCAATTTCAGCTTAATTTATCAAAATACAAAAACTTTTATTTGTACAAAAAATTGCTCTGTCAATCAAGACATTTTAAAAAAGTTTAAGTCTAAAATTGAAAGAAGAAATGAAAACAAAAAACTGTTCAGCAGTGTAACCGTTGCATTTGCTTTCAATGCTAAACCATTATTAACCGTCACTCAGACAGTTTTGATAGAATATCTTTGTTACGGGTGTTTTAATTTAATTTTTTTTTTTTGGTAATATTAGTAAAAAAGTTTCTGCTCTATTATATAGCTGAGTTTTTGATTGACATTAGAAAAAGTTTGTTGTCGATAATTGATGAGCTTTCTTTCTTTGCTTTATCCCATCATTATAGTGCCTACTTTTTTTTGATTCTGTCGAACATCTGCACAGTTGCTTTCTTTTTTTTTTCTGTTCAAGTTTTTTTTTTTTGTCTGACATCTGATGTCTAAACAGATAGATAAGGCAACACTTTTATCCTGATCAGTTATAATTTTACCACTTACTGACTACTATAATCTAAAGATCAGTCAACTTAGGCTAAGCGCAATTTAATGAACATAAAAACACTTACATGAGTTTTATTTTATTTTTAATTAATTTGTACTTATCTTTTACGAAATTATATTTTACTTATTTTTCTTTGCTAAATTTCTGCAGGTAGATTTATTCTTATGCTTTAGTAGAATAAAATGAGCAATCGTGACAGTAATAATCAGTTTTAATTAAAAGCAGTATAATAAGACCTGTCTTTTTAAAGTAAACTTTAAAACTGAGAACTATTATAAAAAGTTACTAACCACTATACGTAAACCTATTGTTTTGGTTAGAGTTAATAAAGGTTCTTGAGTGAGATTTCTAAAAATAAACAATTTATTTGTATTCAGTAATTGATAATTTCATTCAACAGTAGTTTTGTAAATGTTAGAAAAAAGCACTTTTTTTTTTTGCTAAGCTATACTAAAATAATCAAATGATAACAGTTTATAGGTTCCTCTCTGTCTCAAACGTATTTTCACTCATTCTCTGCAGTCTTAAAAATTAAAAAATAAATTGTTGTTGATCTGAAACATTTACAGATTCACAAAATAAACGTGTCATCGACTTTTTTAACTGTAGATTTATTAACTTTCTCGGTCCCTTAAACTTTTTTTTTTTATATTGACAGAAGAAATAAGAACTATCAATATAGGCAAAACCCAATCGAATATGCAAATCTGAGGAACAAGGAAGACACCATAGACAGCCCCAGAAGGTTTGGGTATCGGTAGTTTCTAATTAAACAACAAACCAATTTACAAATGTTATGCAAAAAAAAAAAAACACATTGAAAAAAGTCATAAAAATATGGATATTTGAGCAGAGCAGATGTACTTTTTTTCCACTTCTGCTCTCTTCCTTCTCCTCCTTTTCCTCTCCTCTCTTTTCACTCGTCTTCCTCATTCCCTCAACAATTTTTCATCAACTTTTCCCTTCTTGATATAAGAAAAAGTGATCTTTTTTTTTGCCTTAGTTAATTGAACATCATCAATTATACTGACAATATTGCAGCTAAAAAGATGTTTGCAAAGAAAAGAAAACAAGAAAAAAACAGAGAGTAAAAGTAATAAATTATTGAACTTTAGTTATTAGTTGTTCGCTTCGTGGTCAACCACATTAAATGGAAATAAGTTTTTAGTAAAAAAAAAAAAAAGCAAACCAAATGAGTTTCAGTTTGATACATTATTTCTATAGCCATTATACAGCACTTTTCCATTTCTGAACAAACTGTACACACGTTAAATCTTCAGAAATGTTTAAGCTTTCACGCTTTCTTGTTTTTTTTTTTCTTTCTTGTATCGTCAAATTTATAGATTTATCAATGACAGATCTGCTGTAGGTCCGTTCCATCAGTTTTTCTTGCTGTCTCTGTACAAAAAAAAATTTAAATTGTAAAAAAAAGAAAGATGAAATATACTTGCTTAAATGTAATTTTTTCTCTAACAAAGTGTTATATGTCGACAACAGATTATTAGCATCTGCTAATATGCTAATCATTAAATGTTTAATTAGTTTTGTCTAATTATTTGAGTGCTCAATGCATGTAGAGAAATATCAGGTTCTTTTTAATAATAAACTTTGCGCAAATTGTTAAAGAGTGTCTAACAAAAACTGAAGATGACATACGATTTTGAAGCCCTGTTTCCAGAAGCACCTCAACGTCTGCCCTTAATGATGATAACGATAGAGTCTCATCGGGTAACGATTTTGGAATGATGAGAAGCTTACCATCAGCAGTATCAAAAGGTATTTCAACAGGACAAGGACAAAAATCTACAGATGGTTGGTGTTTTCTTAACTGATCATTTCAAACTTGTAGTTTTTACTAGCAGAAAAACTTTGCTGATTTAATTAATGCTTGTCTGTTTTTCCTTTTATTTCAAACATATTGTATCACTAATATTACAGTGCAGTACAGTTGTCATACATAAGTGTTTTTTTTTTTTT